TCTCTCTGCCCGGTGACACTGCTTCTGGGGCTCACAGTGTCTCCCTTTATTTTCCACACCTCCTCCCTCCAGAGAAAGGAGTTGTTCATTTCCTTGTTTGAGAGGCAGGAACATGGGGACATGGAGGAGGGATATGTAGACATGCTAGAAGGAAGAAAAACCAAGCCTGACTGACCATTCCCAGCTTATGCAGTCACCAGGCAGGGCCTCTGTGGAGGGAATAGCATTTGGTCCATTCTGAGCCCGACATCCTGGCACACGGGCCAGATGTCATCGGGGTTGAAGCTCATGCTCCACAAGGTGTGAATGGGCACCTTTGTCAAATGAGACTGGTTAACAAAGTGTGGAGTCGGGGTGTCATCCCAAGTCCCCAGGACTGCACAGCCCTGGATTTTTAACCACCTAACCGCCCTGTGTGAAATCTGCGCCCAAACTCTACATCTGAACAGCAGGTGGCTGATGAGGAACCGATCTTCACAATGCCATGGACACGATGAAAAGCCCTCAAGCAGGAAAGGGTCTAAAATATTCTGGCAAGTTCATTGGTGATCTGCCTTCCACAAATAATTGTTTACATGTATTAAGCACATGCTCTCTGCTAGGCTTCGTTTTAGATGCTTTGCACAAATGACTTCATTGGAATTCTCACAAAAGACACGCAAAGTGGCACTTCTATCATTCCCAGTTGACCATAAGGAGACTGCAGCACAGGGCTGTTCCCAAACTTGTCCGGGGTCCCTGAGTAACATGCAGACACACTGAGATTCAAATCCAGGATGACTAGAAATCCACATTCTTAAATTTGACTTTTATATCCTCAGTGGCCTCCTGGTAAATCAAAATGTGCAGAATCGAAATCTAAATATCACTACAAGACAAAAAACCAGAGAAGGCCCGAGAAGCAGAGGAAGGGCTAGCATGTCCGTGGCCCCTCTGTCTGTCTGGCATTTGCAGTGCTGTATTGTGTCAGCCTCAAATTTTACAAGGCAGACACTGCCCCCACTTTACAGAGGAGGGAATGGTGGCTAAAGGTTAATGGTTCAAGGTCACGAGGCTCCTCAGGGGCAGAAGCACTTTTAAACTTGGATTCATGTGGGCTGAAAGCCCAGACTTCTGTAATCATTTTCATGTTTATTAACATCTAACATCTTGTCTTTTTTTATGTGTCTCCTGAGCATCAGGGCAAATCTTATTTTAAAAAAACAAACAAACCTATTATGCCTTGTAGTTGAAAGCAAGTGAAGTATCTGTGTAGTAGCCTAAACCCTCACAAACGTGGGGGCCCCCTGCACCCCCATTTTGTGTCTGACTCACATTCCTGCAGACCTGCTGTATGTGGAAATTCTGCTCCATGGCCTCGAGCTCCAAAAGCAAAATCTGATTGGCCGACAGGCCCGAGGCCCCGAAGTCAGCTGCTGGCCCCTGACAATGCACAATGGACGTGGAATGTTTGCTCCGCAAACACTCCGAAGAAGAAGCTGGGTCCCCAGCTCAGCGGAACCAGCCGAGGATGCCCCGCTGATCCACACTGGCCATCCCTGATGAATGTGCCCATTGTGGAGGCAGCCCCAGCCACGCAGAGGGGAAAAGTCCCAACAGAGTGCTTTCTTTTCCCCTTTAAAAGAGTCACATCACATGATTCCTTCACACTGACATTAAATATCCTGCTGTTACGAGGAACAAAACCAGATTCTCTTCCCATCAGGAAAGATAACCGACGTGGTCAATGGTGGGTGGTTCCTAGAAGGAGCGGGGGGATGGTGGGTCGACCCTGCTGATGGTCACATGTCTGGTACAGACTCTCACGCCACATGGTTTGTTAAGCAAAACAGAAAGAAATTAAGTCCCAGCATCATTTTATTCCTCCCCGCAGCCCCCAGAGGGCACTGTTATGTTGGACCAAAGGGTGCTCCCCTTTTGGCCCTGGATAAACAAACTGGGCGCATTCGCATTTGGACGGCTGTTTCCCCATCCCTCTGCTCCCTGGCCCTGGAGCCAGTTTAGGAGCCCTGAGGGATCAGAGGCAGGAAAGTCATTGCACAACTGACAGTCAGACAATCCTGGTCCCAGCTCTGGCTGTGGCTCAGCCATCGCCTGGTCACGTGACCGGAAACGATTTCCACGTGGCGTCTGCAAGCCCCGGCAGCGTCTTTGTGCAAACCAGGAGAAAGTGTCGCTGTGAGCAAGAAGCAGCGCTGCCAACACAGGGCCCGGCAAGTGCACCCCCAGCCGCACTCCAGCCCCTGCGCCCCTCGGCCAGGGCCCTCCCCCGGGGCACAACCTCACAGCCACTCGCAGAACCCTGTGTCTCTGCTTCGACTTGTCAGCCGTGAGGCGGGACAGATGCTCATTCTCTGCACAGATGAGGCTGAAATGACATCCCGAACCATGGATCAATCAGCCAGTTAGAGACGTCTGCTATCCTGGTCCAATCCCACCTCACCTCCTGAACCCTCCATAATATTTCTCACGAAAAGTGGGGACACCGTCTACCCCTCCAGATGACTTCCCGCACCCCCACACCCAGAGGCCCACCCCCTCCAGAGCTGGATTAAAAAGCAGGGTGGGCTTCACACTCGTGACGCCTCTGCAGCTGCGCCGGGCCCCACGCTCCGAAGCACCTCACACCTTGGGTCAGTGCGCTGACGTCACTGTCTCGCAACCCTTGATCGCTTCTAACAAGGAGCGTGCTTCTAACAAGAAGCACCACGTTTCCATCTTGCGCTGGGCCTCACGTATGACGTCACTGGTCCTGCTGACACGTCTTGGGAAGCGCCAGATGGTTTTCTGCTATTATACCCACGGAAGTTCTGGAAAGGAAAGTGGGAAGTGTCGCTCTTCTGCTGGACACGTCACCGCGTGCGAGGCAGGGTGACGCGCTGGGCCCGCGGGCACGGGCTTCAGGCGGCGCACGGAGCCGGGGGCTCCCCTGCACTCCGTGAGCCCTCGGACAAATCCCCGACCCGTCCGAACCCGGCTCCCCTGATCTGTAAAGCAGACAGCTAACGCCCACTCTTCCCTGCTACTGATGAGAAAAGGCCTGTCAGTGGAGAAATTGTCTGGCCCGCGGCAGGGGCTCCACAAATGGAAGGGCCCCTCCTGCCGCGTTGTGCCAACAGAGTCTTCAAGATGGACCCCACACTTACAGTCCAGACGGCAGGGGGCGATGGGTGGCCCGAAGACGCTGCGGCTCTAGGGTCACTTGACTCCGCCTTAACCAGGGCCTAGACGCCAGGGCTCCCCCAGTGCATGGACGTTAGTCGGGACACGTTTGGCTGCGAGGGCGCGAACCCAGCTCCTGTTCACTGATGACGGCGATTTTCAACCGGCACGCCACGAGGAGTTTTAGAACATGCCACACCTGGCCAGTCAAGGGCACCGACGTCTTTCTGCAAGCTAAAAAAATGACAACAGCCAACACAACAATAGTCATCCACTGTGAATGAGTCAAAATGATACCTATTTGGTTGTCAGATTAGCAAAAAATATTTTTGGTGTGCCGCAGAATTTTTGTAATTAGTTTATGTGTGCCGTGAGATGACAAAGGTTGGACATGGCTGACTTAAGGGAAAGTGGCGGTTTGTTTGTTAATGAGACTGGAAAGTGCCAGGGTAGGTGGACAGTGCTGTATGTGAGGATTGATACAATGTTACTCAGTCTCTCCCTTTCTCTCCCTCCCTCCCTCCCTTCTGTCCCCCCATATTTTTAAGCATGACTGCCAACAGCCCGAGACCCAGCTCTCTAATTCAGCAAACCCGGAGGGGACAGACACATCTCTCTCAATATTCATATATCAACCACGGAAAAAACCCCAATTGACCCTGCCTGGATTACAGCCCCATTCCTGAACCAGTCACAATGACCAGAATAACAGGGCTTGCGCCACCCAGGGGCAGGACACTGGGGCTCAAGCCTCACGAGGGACAGCCCCAGTGAGACCATGTGAGATGTAGAGCCAGACAGATACAGGCAAGGAGACCACCATGCCTTACGGGGTGTACCGTTCCTCCCAGCAGGAGCCAACGGCGATGAAGGAGGGGGAGGGGATCGGGCGGTGTAGACACAGCCATGAACTGTCCTTCCCCGAAGGCTGGGAAATAGGTGACACAAGTCATCCGAGAGAGTCTCTGTGCGGAAGACACAGCGCTGAGAAAACACGGGGCGTGTTAGAAGCCACTGGTTGCACAACTGCAATTAACCTCACCTCTTTAAATGTTTTATAGTGATGCAATTATTTTCATGTTTATCTTTTGCTTAGGCAACCTATACTGGTTTTCCATTTTAATGCTAATGGAAAGTTTCCTTTCAAAAATATCTTGAAGTAGAAACAAAGTCAGCCAGTTGAAGTAAAAACAATAAGCAAATAATAAGATAGACTTAAGCAGCTGTGGACAAATCAGTGCATGTATCATGCCAACGACTAAAGTACGACAAACGTTAGTTTAGTATATAAACAGAATTTTCTTTCCCCAAGGAGCAGTAAAAGCCAATAACCTTGCCATCGTTGGTCTGTGTGGCATCTCTGGCAAACTAAATATTATGTCCTTCATTGTGTGAATGGCAAAGCTTTAGCTCAGGTCACCAATTGGGTCTGTGGTAAGATCCCTCAGCTTCTGGCTGGCCACACCTATTGCTAGACATACCCGTGTCTCATAGCAAAGGGGAGAAGCACCGTTGTAGGACACTGGCCCACCGTACCACTCTCTGTGTCAGAGACAGTCACGCAAAGGTAGGGTTGGCATGAAATTCACTCATCCCAGAATTGGCCAGGCTGATTGTCTTGGAGAACAAAGGGGCCACTGTCCGTGGTCATCCGAGGCCAGCTGGCTCTGAGGAGTACCAGCCACCTCTCTGGGGCCAGCGTGTCCCCAGCTGATTTCCACATGGACCCACGTGTAAAGTGGCAGCCGGTCCCACATCTGGATGTCTGCTTTGCCTTCCAATTAGCTACCAACTCTGGCCCATGGTTATCCACTCACCTGTTCGATTGTTTTCTGCAGGCCAAAGCCAGGGAGCAGCAGCGTTTCGATGTGGATCGAGATGTCAAGAAGCTGAACAAGGCCTGCAAAGGAATGGGTAGGAAAGATATTTTGTTTGCTGATTTACTCTGGAAGTTGATTAAATCGGATCGCATGTCCAACTTTCCCACGGTCTGAGGAAAACGGCTTCCCAGTTAGCTTGTGTTTTCCAGGCGAACACAGGTGGATCACTGCTTCTGAGGTTGTCTTTCTAAAAGATTCCAAAGTTATAATCAGATCGGATTGCTTCTCAGGATTCTATATAACAGTTAGAAATTAGACAGTACGACGTTCAGTTTGACCCGGAGGTGGAAGAGACTTCATGAGAGGCATAGTTTGTGGAGCCTAATGTCACCTCAACCCCTCTGAGCCCTTTAATGGGGGCGCGGGTGGGGGGGCGGTGTGCAGGCCTGATGACAGCTGGATTCGGGCTCTGGGAACTGCATCTGTAAGCAGATCACATGAACATAAAGTTGTGGACAAGGTCAAGAACTGAGTGTCAAAACTGGAGGAGTTCTTTATATCCAGGCCCAAGGGTCAGGGCATGGCCAAGGACAGGAGACCAAGCAACAGGCTGAGACGAGAGTAAGGTGACCCCAGGACCAGGTGGAGTGAGGGAGAAAGCCTCTAGGAGTGAGGTCATGAAGAGAGACTCTGGGACCCAAGGAGGTCACTAATGAAATAAGGTTCTCATCCCAGAAGCCTGGGTTCGGGTATATTCACAGCTGTGTGTAACCGTCATCACTAATGCCAAAACATTCTCATCGCCCCTGAAACAACTCCACGTCCATTAGCAGCCACTTCCCAGTGCCCTCTCTCTGCAGGCCCAGGCCAGCGCTAACCCACGTTCTGTGTCCATGGATTTGCCCAGTCTGGACATTTCATGTAAATGGAATCATGTAATACATGACTTTTTGCATCTGGCTTCTTTTGCTTGGCATAATGTTTTGTGAGAACAAGTGCTAGATTTTTCACGTAGAAGTAAATTAGTGCCGATTTGCTTTTCTAGGAATGGGTATTATGGTAGAATTAATATGGCCATAAATCCTTTGTGTGACTTCAGAGGAAAAAAACAGGTCCACAGTGGCAGTTCTAGGAAGACGTATTTTGGCCAATATAAGGAACCGTCTAAATATAGAATAGTCTGCCTAGCCCCGAGAAATGTGGGAGAAGTCCCAGGGGAGCTGGGGTTGGGGGAGATGTGGACGGGAAGTGGTAGAAGGGATTTCTACATAGTAAGTCTCCTTGAATAAATCACAGAGAGACGGGGCAAGGGGGGACGTCCTGGAAGTGAAGGATGACAACTAGGCCACTTGGTTTGGGGGCATCAGAGGAAAGCTCAGCACAGAGTCGTTGCCCCATGCTTCCATCCAGACCTGGCTGATCTCGTGTCTGAATGACAACTCTCAGAGACAGGTTTGCCTGGGAGGGTCAAGACGCTTCCAGTCCTGAGTCCTGCAGAGGGGCTCAGCCGGGCTCACAGGCGCCTCCCTGCTGCCTCCCGAGTGAGGCCCTGACACCTGGACGTGGGTTGGAGCCGAGAGCGAAAGTGGGTGTGGGAATGACGGCACTGAGGTTAAAGATAAACTCCCACGTGCTCAGCCCACCTGGAGTTCAGTTCAGTAAGCACAGGTGGGGCACCTACTGAGTGGCAAAGTCATGCAGTGTTCTCTCCCCTCTTTTAGCTGTGGCCGCAAGGTGAGACCGCTCTCGGGCTGGTCACGGTCGTAGAGCACCTTCTCTGTGCCAAGTGCCAAGCTGGGTGCCGCACGCACTTCATCTTGGACAACCCTCCCAACAGCCCTGGGAAGGTGTAATAGAATGATGTAATAGACGAGAATGCTGAGGCTCTGAGGTTAAAGATCTTGCCCAAGGCCAAGGAGTTACGGCATGAGTGTGGGTGATCAGAAACTAGGGCGACCTTGGGAAGCTGTCATTTGGTTGAAGGCCTAGCACTCCATCCTCTACCATGAAGTGCAAGCCCAAGCAAAATCATATCACTGGCAAAATTTGTCAGCAAGACTATACAGCCACCTCCTTGATGTACCATCCCTACCTGGGCTGGATTCACAGGCCACGTGTCCAGCAATGACAAAGGTGAGCTGCGTGGTTCCTTTAAAAATTTTGAGACAACAAATTTTAAAAGCAAAAGAAATGCAGGTGAAATCAACTTGAATATATACTTCAGGTAACTCGATACTATACCAAAAATCTCATTTTGACAATCAATATAAAAAATCATTAATGAAATATTTGACATCCCTTTTGTTTTCACATGTCTCCAAAACATGATATGTATCCCACACTTACGGAACATTTCAACAGCCACGTCACACAGTGTGTTGAGCAGAGGGGTCTAGAGACCCTGCATGTCCAAAAGGTGATGTGCACTTTCTACCCACTCACCTGTCTACGCGATCCAAAATAATAAGAGTGCTGGACCACAAAATAATATCTGATTTTTCCAAATAGCAACATGAAAACTTTGAGATTTCTTTCTTGTTTCTTTGATGTCCCTCCTTTCCTTTCCAAAGTAGTAGTTGGTCTGGATCTTGGCTAACTGCTCCCCACCCCCCACAGCCCTCTACCCTCCTGCCCATGCTGGTGCTCCTGTGAGGTCTTCCCCTGGGTCCCTCTGCCACCCTGCCCCAGCAGGGCCCTTCTGAAGCGAACGCCTCAACCAGCAGAGTCGTGTAGACCCCAACACCCATTATCCCCTCTGAAGTGCAAGAGGAGAGGACGTTTGTCATCCTCCCTCATAGGAAATGCAGAAAAGCCACCTCTGGGCCTCTGGACCATCCAGTCCCCAGCTTCTCAAACCTTAATGTGCATCTGAGCCATTGTCCATATGCAGGTTCTGGTTGGGTGGTTCTGAGTGGTTTCTGAGATTGTCCGTCTCCAGTGAGTTCTTCACCGGGAGGTTCTGAGGATAAAGCAGGCAGCACAGGGCCCAGCATCTCACTGGCCCTCACTACCTGCTCATCTTCTCCTTTGGAACAATATGCTCAGATCCGAAATGCACACAAAGCCAAATTGGATGAGTATGAGCAGTGAATAAGCCCACCCCTGACTGGCCTTTATTCTCTATTGCTGAGGGTGTGCCAGGTTGAATGGCCCACCCCCACCCAGAAATATATATATATATATATATATGTCCCCCTGGAACCTGCAACATGACCTTATTGGGAAAAGGGTCCTTTGAGATGTAATTAAGGATTCTGAGATGAGATCATCCTGGACTACCTGGGTGGGCTCTAAACCCTTCAACAAATGTCCTTAAAAGAGACAGAAGAGAAGACCCACGAGAAGAAGGTCATGTGGAGACAGGCACAGACTGTGCTGTTGGTGGGAATCAGGCTCTGCCACAGGGTCAGGAGGAAGCATTCCAAGGACCCACGCACAGAAGATTGAGTGTGGCAAGACGGTTTATTTGTGTAGAAGGCTGCCCCTGGGTTTCCAATTTCCCATTTTTCTCCATCCCGCCACAGAAAAAGTCCAACCTTGCCTTCAGCAAGGCCACAGCAAAGGCCAGTGTCCAAAGTTTCTGCTTCATATTGAGGCTCTTAGTCCTTCAGAGTCCATGCCATGTGTTGCAGGCCTGGCGGCTGCTAGACTCACATAGTCGTGTACCCCCACGCGAATGCATGGGTGAACGAGGATTCCAGAGAGAGAGAGAGAGAGAGAGAGGGAGAGAGAGAGAGGGAGAGAGAGAGAGAGGGAGAGAGCACTCCTTTCCCTCTCTGAGATTGTATTACCTTGGGTTTGGGAAGTACTTGGTGCTTTTCCAAAAGAACCAATCAACTTCCCAAGCTTTCATGGGTTTTTTGATGGGTCCACTCCCCAGCCAATCCATTGGTTTCCAGGCTAGACTGGCAGGCCTCTATGGTCAAGCACCTCCCCCTGTGCCATTTGACTTCCATTGTGCACGTGCCTACCTCCCCCAGTCCAGGGCCCCTCGCCCTACCCCCAGAATCTGGTACCAGGGTGAGAAAGGGAGGAGCGTTAATCCCCTTGGCAGAGCAAGGCTGTGATCCCCTGGGGAGTGACGCTGTAGCTTCCTGGTGAAGCAAACAGGCACATGCTCCCCGGGTTATTAAGCTCAACATCTAATTCCATTTGCTCTCCTTCCCTCATTAATAACTAGTTAACCACCCATGGTAACAACTGAAGTGATACAGACACAAACCAAGGACCACTAAGGATCGCCAGCAGCCTCCAGAGCCTCTGGAGCCAGTGTGGTCCTGCCACCACCAGGATTTCTGACTGCCAGCCTCAGAACCGTGAGGGACTCCGTGGCTGTTGCTTTAAGTCCCTGAGTGTGTGGAAGTTAATACAACCTCAGGAACCTCATGCAGTGAGCACGTGGAAAACAATGACCCACCCAGGCAGGAGAAATTCTCCTCCATTCATTACTTCATCTTCCTTCCCTGCATCTCCATTTCCAAAGGAGAAACTGCAGGACTGGAAAGCCCAGTGGTGTTAACGGAAGAGACTGTCCCTCAGGCACCAACGATGGGGCTGCAGCCCCCAGGCTCAGCCAGGAAGGCTGCGGTGGGCCTTTGGCATCTGCGGGAAAGCTGAGCCCCTGCCCCTGGTTCACTGCGGGGCTCGCTCCTCTGGCACGTGGGCCCCTGGTGTGAAGTGGAGGGCACTTCAACCCCAGGGACCTTCATCCTGCTGGACCTCAGCTTGGTATCTTCCCAGAAAATTGCTGGGAAAGCAAAAGCCAGGAGGCCCTCCAGCCCTCCCGAGGCTGACAATCACCCCGTCCTGACCTCTGCTGTGTAATTACTCGACAGTGTCCGATGCACAGTCAGGGCTGAGGTTCCTTCGTGTCTCATATTTTAAAAAGTCTTTCCCAGAACCACTGGGGACTGGCCCTGGTGCCTCAAATCATTGTAAATGTTTACAGGAAGCTGTTGGGCAGCCCAGACTGCTTATATGACACACATATTGTGAAATGTAAGATGAGGTCACCATTCAGTAAATCGCTTCCTGGCGGGTACTGGGAATCACTCCCAGGATGAATCTGAGACCCATACTCAAAGGACTTCAGAAGAATCTAGTCATTCCCATGCCTCCCCACTCCTCCAGGTTGTTGCTGAGCCATCCCAGGTCTGCCACGCTCTCTGGTCTCTCTATTTAAAGCATTCCAGGAAGGAACGTCTAAAAGACATTACTTTTACACTTTAACCCAATTTTCCTGAATTATCCAGATATGGGTTGACTATGGCATCAGCATAGAGGGCTTCCTATCGGTCCATGCTACATACAGCCCGCCAGAGTAGCACATGCAGCCTACACCAATGCAGAGGCAAGGTTCAGTCCTAAAGCAGTGCGAACTTCCCCATTCGTTCATTCATTCATATATGCATGCACTGGAACATTCATTCATTCAGCAAGCCATCTGACAAATACTGGGGGCCTTCTCTGGGAGTGCGGCAGCGAGCAGAAGCCCCTGCTCCCACGGAACTTGCAGTGTGGCACGGCAGAGACGGGGCGGAGACGGAGAGCAGGCCCCGTGAGCCAGTGAGCGGAGTACCGAAGGAGGAGGAGGAGTGAACCTGCCTCATGGTCAAAGGCAAAGATGTTCCAGGCAGAGGGAACAGCCTGTGCAGAGACTCAGAGGCAAGAAGGAAAGTGTTCTAGCCCTGCCTACTGTGGTTCAGTGGCTTGGGCATCGTCCAGCGAACAGAAAGGAACCCAGTTCAATTCCCAGTCAGGGCACGTGGCTGGGTTGTGGGCCGGGTCCCCAACTGGGGGCGTGCAAGAGGCAACCGATGGATGTCTCTCTCCTCTCCTTCCCCTCTCTCTAAAAATAAGTAAATAAATAAATTTTTTAAAACAGGAAGTGTTCTAGGAGCTACAAGTGATGTATAGAATTGATGGAATGGAGGCCTGGGGGTGGGTAAGTGGGGAGGGACAGCAATGAGAGGCGGGTAGGAACTAATCCGAAAGGCTTCATCATATGCCCCACCAAAGAGGTGAGACCTTGTTCTGGATTCAAAGGGGCCTATTCTAAACGGCTTGACGCAGAGGAGTGAGCAGCCTGGTCTGCTCATCAGAAAGGTCACCCTGGGGTCAGTGAACACAGATCAGAAAGGGTGAGAGGAAGGCGGGAAACCCACGTGGGTATCATTAGTTCCGCTGAGCGACGTGACAGAGGTGAGGATGGAGAGAAACGGGTGGTCCCGAGAGGTGAAACAGGGAGGTCTTGGTGGTAACGAACCGGATGCGGGGTAAGGGAAGAGAGGAGGCCAGGGACGGGCCCAATTCCTGTTGGCCACAATACGGGGAACGGGCCATCTGGGAGGCAGGAAGGCCCCTTCCAGGGGTGACAACAGTCAGGGTCCAAGCCTGCGACACGGGGGCCCTCGACCTGGGCAAGACCCACACACGTGGACAGAAAGGGGCAGAGTCAAAGGATTTTTACAAGAAAAGGAAATCCCTTTTGAGGTGAGATTTCTGGCACTCAGAAGTTAAAAAAAAACAATGTCACAGAGGAAGTAACTGGATACACATTACGTAGGTGACACTGTGGGAGGAAACGAGAGCGACAACATAAATAACAGTGCTGGAACCGAACCAGAAAGAGGCAGGCAACTAACCCCAACTGTTTTTACAAGTGAGCTCATCCTGGAATGCTCTGTGTCCTGGGTGAAATCAAACAGCTACATCTTCCCAGAACTGCAGAGGTGGAACTAATCCTTAAGACTAAGTGAACAGTCGGTCACCATGGTCAACGTAGACCATTTTCACCACCTCGGAAAGAAACGTCCCGCTCTTCAGCTCCCAGCCCCCCACGCTCCCCACCTCAGCCGCAAGCCTGAGTGCTGTCTCCATAGATCTCCCTGTTCTGGGCTCTCATGTGGATGGAAGCTTTGAACACGCAGTCTCCTGTGATTGGCTTCATTCACTGCGCATGTTTCCAAGGTTCACTCATATTGTAGCGGGGATTGGTACTTCATCCCCTTTTCTGGCCTAATAGTATTCCACTGTATCAGTATACCACACTTTGTTTATCCATTGGTCCACTGACGGACATTCAGGTTGTTCTCACCTTTGGGCTACTATGAATGATGCTGCAGTGAACATTCAGGTACACGTTTTGTTTGGACATTTGTTGTCATTTCTCTTGAGTATAGACCTAGGATTGAAATGAAGCAATAGGCCGTACTTCTGCCTCTTACCACCACCACGCCTGGCAGTGTAAGGCTCCCATGGATATTTCTCAAGTGAGTGGAACAAAGACAGTTCTCCACCAGACACGAAAGCTAAAGGGTCCCCTGAGGTTCCACCTCGGCCTCTGACGGCCATGCTGCCTCCTCAGACTTGACGAAAATGAATCTCCGTCTCGTTTCTTGTTCACTATTGCTTTGTTTCTTTCTCCCACCCTGTAGGGACCGATGAAGCGACCATCATTGACGTCTTGTCAAGCAGGACATCAAATGAGAGGCAACAGATAAAGCAAAAGTACAAGACCACGTATGGCAAGGTGATTCCAAGGGTCCTCACGTGCATGCACGCAGCCTTGGCCTTGACAGTCTCTGCTTCTTCTAACACAGCCTTGGCCTTGACAGTCTCTGCTTCTTCTATATGCCCCGGGCACTGGGGAGCAGCTGTACAGCCTTAGGAGTTCACCCGAGAGGAAAAAGTGAAATAATTATTGAAAACTTTGACTTTAGAAAACTGAAACTGCCTTGTTAACTCAATGGCCTGTAAAGTCAGTATTCTTTAACTCATTTTTTAAAATTGGCTCTATTTTAATATTAATCCCTCTCTCATTTCCCCCCCTCCCCCGCTCTCTTGGACTAATTCCACATACTAACTTACAGATAGGCTAGTGGTTTGAAAATCAGTTTTCACAAGTGGGTCTTTATATAAGAATTCTTCATTTCTTTCAGCTGTCTTCAAGAATGATGCCTCCTTCATAAGTGAGGGTTACAGAAAACTAAAAAAAAAAACACTTTATTTCATTAAGCATTACCTTATTACTTTACGTTTTTTCTTTCATTTTTTTTTGGCTGACGATGTTATGTATACAAATCTTTAAGAATACATCAGGCTTTATTTTGTTATTACTCTATAATGAACACAATTTAACCTTTTCTTAACGTCATTAGAAAGATTAGTGTGCAAACTGAATGCTAATTATTAGAGTGTACCCTAACCCATGTCTATGAAAGCTTGACAGTTTCAACCACTCTATGTATAAATGGACGTGGAGGTATGGATGGATTTTTCTGACTTTGACCTTGGGCGGGCAATGCTCCCTGCAGGCCTGGGCCTCCTCACACAGAGAACGAAAGATAATCCACCTCCCTTTCTCAAGCTGCCGGGAGACCCCAGCAGGGTACAGCCAGCCCAGTCCAGCAAGGGGAGCTGTGCCGAGTCCGAAAGTTTCCGTCTCTCACAGAGGAAGAGCGGAGCTCACCCGTTTACTGGGCTCGTGCAAAATCGCACACGGGAAAGAAAAAGGACCAGGGCTCCGGAGCTCGGGGGCCCGTGATCCCTCTTGGAGAACCCACCGCCGGGAGACGAGCTACTTATTCGCACACCGCGTGGGCCAGGCGGCGGTGCTTCTGCGGTCTTTCTGCGTCTCCCCTCGCAATCAGGCTTGACAGCGTCACTCACTGAGGACCCAGAGGGCAATGAGTGAGTCTTCAGTGCGGCCGTGTGTAACGGATCAGGACGGCGTTGGCCCTCCACCGTGCCAGCGTCGCCTAGCCAACCGCGGCAGCCCCTGTTTCTGCTGTGGCGACGTGGACGGTCAGACACAGGCTCCTTCCATCGGCCGTGAGACAGGAACCGATGGGTTGGAGGTGCGGGCCTCGGGGCCATGTCACAAATAAAGCAGGCACGCCCAGCGCAAAGCTTCACAATGCCGGCGCCTGTCAATCGCACGCTCGCTTTCCAGTTCTCCGCTGTTCCAGACAGCAGAGACTGCCGGACAGGTGATCTGCAGTCACAGCAGCCTGAGGCTAGAAGACGTTAGAGGCGAAGACGTCGAAGTCCCCGGGCCAACGGAGCTCCGGGGAGAATCCCCACCCCCAGGGGACGCAGCTGGTTAGCAGAAAAATCCAGGATTAGAGCTGAAGTATCCTTTGAGCTGGCTTCTCTGTTCAAACAGAATGTAAACACACAGGGTTTGTGTTCATGCCTGTGGCCTGTAAGCGTAGGCAGCTGGATTTCTTTTCTCTGCAGTTTTATGTAGAGTGGGACCCCCTTAGCGGGAGAAGACAGGTTCCAAGACCCCCAAGGATGCCTGAAACTGTGGACAGTACCGAACCTTAACAATAGTGTGTCATTTTCCCTTTACGTACACATGTGTGTCCATGGCAGGGTCTCGTCGACCCTGAGGCCACACAGTGGGGACAGCAGACACCTGCCCCTCTCCTCCTGGGCCATTCCCAGTCAGGGCTTTCGATGTCGTCCTGCAGGAGCTGGAGGAGGTGCTCAAGAGTGAGCTGAGTGGGGATTTCAGCAAGGCCGCCTTGGCCCTTCTGGACCGCCCCAGCGAGTACGATGCCCGGCAGCTGCGGAAGGCCATGAAGGGTCTGGGCACGGACGAGGCGGTGCTCATCGAGATCCTGTGCACGAGAACCAATCAGGTCAGCCCCAGCCAATTCCTCGGACCCCGCCCCAGCAGAGCGTCCATATACCCCTTAGAGGTGGCTGCTGCAGCAGCAGCCAGAAGGGAAACTACACCTGGCACTCCTCCCAGGGGCTGAGCAAGCTTCTGGGCAGAAATGTGTCCACTTTGGCCCATGCAGGGCAGAAGCCTCTTCCAGTCCTCTGGCTGTCAATCTTGGGGTTACTGCCACTGGCTTGACGTAATAGATCCTTCCAGAACAGCTGCACCAATGCAGCCTTTGTTTTTCTAAATGGATGCAGTTTTCTATGCAGCAGACGAGATTCTACTTTCCCCCGCCAGCCTGACTCTGCTGGCCTCCTGAAATGAGTACGGCGCTAAGCAGCCCAAGCGTGTGTGGGCAGCCCCTCACCCGTGGCTCTCATCTAGCGTGGGGTACCAAACAGACTGTGTGGAGGCAGGGAGGCGGGTGATGCAGGGGACCCCGTGGCAGCCAGCACCTCTCCGGAGGTTTCCGTGTTCTTCTCCCTGCAGACCTTTCCCCTGGTCCCTGGGGCGCAGGCCACATTCAGTCCCTGAAGAGAGCATGCATTTGCTAAGGCCCCGGTGGAAGCCCACCCATCATTGGTTCCAGAAGCCGCAAGGGCCAAGGAATTCACCAACAGTAAAGAGAGTCTGTGAATCATTATCTGGGGCTCCCCCTCCCTCTCCCACAACCACCTATCACAGTAGAATGTGGGAGGCCCAGCCAGAAAAATGCCAGGAAACCCCAACACACTCCAGGCCTCCAGGTAGGACACGGAAGCGGAGGCTGGAGCAGGAAGCAGCAGCGCTTGGCCCCTGAGCCTCGAGGGAAGCCTTCCCGGCCGACGCCCCCGGGCTGGGTGCTTCTGCTCAGCCTGTGCCACCCAACCGCATTTCCCGAAACGCTGCTCTGCTCCGAGCTGTATCTGTCCACCTCCTTCCGGAGCTTGCCTGCACCACTTTACCCCCGACAAGATAGTAACAGCCTCCATCTCAGGGAGTTGCCGTTTAGGGCTGTGCCTTAGAGGAGGGTCAGCAACAGGCGGTGGCATCAGTTCAGTCCAACAGTCGCACAACTTTCCCCACTCAGCGTCCCACCCTTCCCAGAAGCACCACAGTCCCCAGGAAGCGGCGTCCAAGATCAGGGCCATCAGCAGCCCGCCTTGGCAAGAAGGTTCATTTCATCGTTATTGTTCTAATCCTACCTGGCCTTCTGCTGTCTCACTGTGGTTTCTTTCGGACCCTGGTCTCAAATAGCAAGCAGAGCCCTTTGTTTTCAATCAAGTAGACCTGACACAGAGAGAGGAAAAGCAGAGAGAGCACAGGCCCGGGTTCAGGCAGATCTTGGTAGTGGGGTGGAAGGAGGAGAAAGGGGAAGGAGCTGAGTAGACACAGGTGGGCACTCGGTGCCCCCCCCCCCCACCCCCCGCCACCTTTCCTCCCACCCTCCAAAGCACAGGAGCTAGGCTTCTCACCTCTGTTGTCCACCCCACCTCCTCCCACCCTACCTCCTCCCACCCTGCATGCTGACTTTCATTTTAAACAGCCCGCAGGTGACACTGCGGGGAAATGCCTGCTGTCACACACTGCTGGTTCCAGTGTAAACTGAGGCAGCTCCCGCGTGGAGCTGGAACCGCCTGGCACACCAGTCATTGACATACAAAGTGACTATTCCCAGGACATGCACGCAACAAACCATTTACTGAATCAAGCCTTGTCTGAAGTAGAGAAAAATTAGAAACAGCTTAAGTGCCCATCAATTGGAGGCTGGCTAAACAAACTGTGCTTCATGGTAGGATGGAACATGTTGTATCCAATTTAAAAGACACTAGGTAACTAACTATGTATAAGCATAGCTGGATCTCCAAGATATACTACGCAGTGAAAAGATAAGTCAAAGCCCAGTATGTTCAATTTTCCTGTTTTTAAACACAAACACAGAGTGACTCCACATGTTTTCAGTAGCACATACAGGTGTACAAATACAAACAGAGATATTTGCAAGGATATGCCCTGAACTTCTGACACTGGCCACCCGGTAGGGGTTGGCAGTAAAAGGCGGTGAGGAGGTCATGAAAGCGGGTGTTAGCGGTCACATCTGCATCTGCGACAGAGGAGAAGCCCATACACCTCACCTGTGTGGTCCGAGATGTTCGCACAGACGGGGCCCCTCACACCTCTGGGGGACCTGCTCCAGGCCTGCGCCCCAACCCCTGGAACAGCCCTCTTTGGAAGCGTCCCGTGTCCAGAGACAGGCCCCAGACTCGTCTCTTTGTGTGTCTCTCTGTATCTTATCGATTAACCTACCTTGGCCTGTGGATTTTATTACCTTTTCTAGGAAATCATCGCCATGAAGGAGGCCTACCAAAGGTGTAAGTAACCTTTTGTTCTGACTTCAGATAAAGAAAGTCCCTTTCAGAAAGCCCTTGTGAGACTAAACCCTCTGCTCCCTCCCCTCCTCGTTTCTCCTTCGAAAGTATTTGACCGGAGCCTGGAATCAGATGTCAAAGACGATACCAGCGGAAATCTAAAAAGAATTCTGGTGTCCCTGCTGCAGGTAAGAGGGAAGAGGTCTCGTGAGCTTTATGACCTTGGGGATAGCCCTCGGCAGCACGGTGCCGTGATGAGAAAGGCCACGTCCATGGCACACATTCCCTTCTCTGGTTAAAAACGTTACCCAGGGATCACCGACCCGGGCTCCGTCAGGTCAGCTATTGTGAAATCACTCAGCTGGGATTTCTCCCACAAGACAAATTTGTCCAGTCCCTTGTAGTTTACAATCCTTTTTTGTTAATGAGCGACCTCCTTGGGCATCCCCGCCTCGTTTTGCCAGGGAGGAAACGCCAGCCTGGAGAGGATGAGCAACCTGCCTGGGTCTGCACAGGGTGAGACGCAGCCCGGGAGCCAGATCCAGAACCAGACCCTCTGACCCCAGGCAGGGCCCTTTCCCTGACACGACTCTGCGATCACTTCCAGGGTTCACCCCAAGTCTCAGCCTGTAAGAACCACTGCAGGGAGCTCGGCCAGGAAAGGGGGGCTTTCAGAATCGGCCCTGCAAGGACACGGCTCCTGCGCCTCCGGCTGCACGGCATCTGTGCTTCCTGCTGACACATCCGTCTCACTAGCTTCGTGCATTTCTTCTGTTCCTTTCCTCTCGGCGTGATTGGACTGACGGCAGAGAACACACAGAGTAGCCTTCAACTGTAGTGGGAAGCATATGGGTTCTCCCGCTGCACGACAAATTGCCACAAACTTAGCAACTCAAAACAACACAGATCTATGCTCTCACAGTTTCTGTCGGCCGGGAGTCGGTCACAGGCTGGCTGAGTCCTTTGCTCGGGGTCTCCCCAGGCTGGAATCAAGTCGTCAGCCAGGGCCACCGTTTCATCTGAGGTCCTGCGTCCTCTTCCAAGTTCACTGGCGGTTGGCAGGTTTCAGTTCCTTGTGGTTGTTATGACTGCTGTCCCTGCCCTCTTGCTAGCTGTCAACCAGAGACCCCTATCAGCTCCTGGAGGCTGTCTGCAGTCCCTGCCATGTGCCCCATAGACAGTTCAAAGTATCAGTTGGTGTCTTCCAGGCCAGCAGGCACTCATCTCTCTGATGTCTTCCATCTCTGACTGATAAGAACCTGCCTGGGCCAGACCCTCTGGGGTAACCTCACCTGCCTGGGTCAGACCCTCCAGGGTAACCTCACCTGCCTGGGCCAGACCCTCCAGGACAACCTCACCCGCCTGGGTCAGACCCTCCAGGATAATATCCATTTCGATGAAGCCAACTGATTGGGGGTCTTAATCACATCTGCACAATCCCCTTTGCCTGTTAACACAACGTAATCACAGGAGTGACATCTCATGATGGTCACACGTCTTGCCCACACTCAAGGGAAAGTGACTGTCCAAGGGTGTGGGCCACTGGGGACATCTTAGAAGTCTCCCCGCCACAAAGGGGTCAGGTTACACTTCGAGACCTCCAGGGACCAACATTCAGGTTTCTTCAGGACTGGGACCCCAAGAGCTGAAATTTGATATTTTGGAAGGAAGACTATTAGCTTTCCACTGGGCTGACTCTAGGGGCCATTGCGAGGTTCCTTTCAGCCCGTTTAAGAGGTCAGTGGTTTTTGTGAGTGACCTGATAGTCTACAAAAAAGGAAAAGCGTTGTTACGGAACTACTGTGTTTACCAGCTGTGCCCAGAAGATGGCAGCAAAGAGCAGCACTTTGCTGGGCGGATCTTCCTCCTGCCACCCGTCTGAAATCATCGGGCTTTCCCCGCACTTCCCTTTTGTTTTGTTTTTTGTTTGTTTTCTGTGGTCAGGCAGGAACTCAAGTTCATAACAATGTGTCAATTTTTCTAGGCTAATCGTGATGAAGGAGATAATGTGGACAAAGAGCTCGCTGGTCAGGATGCCAAAGATCTGTATGATGTAAGTGTGCAGACGTGCCAGTCCCGGCGACATCTCTTTAAATATTTATCAGCGGTACTTTCAACAAGCGTGTCTTCAGTACCTGCAAATGGGAGTTCCTCGGGACACACGTACGATCTTCACAGCCTTTCTCATGTGCATCCTGTCTCCATGAACCTGAAAGAATTATTCCTATTTTTATCCTCTGGGGTCACCCGCCTCAGACCCAGCTTGTACTTGAGCAGGGCACAAATAATGTAGATCACTGTGTGAAGTGGACTCAGGGGGTTAGACGTTTCAAGTGTTCAGTCCCTCCATTCAGCTTCTGTTCAATGTATATTTTATCATTTCCTGTACGTGAGGCCTGGCCCCAGCACTGTTTATTCAGTCTTTTTTTACAAAAGGCTTTTACAAAATGTCTGTACTTGACCCGCAAGGCAGGGGAAGGCCGCTGGGGCACCGATGAACTTGCCTTCAACGAAGTCCTGGCCCGGAGGAGCTACAGGCAGTTACGAGCCACCTTCGAAGCCTACCAGATGGTGAGTACTCGCGAGTACCAGGGCGAGGTGTTCGCGCCGGGACGGAGTCCCCAGTTGTTTCCACAAGAAGCCACCATCTGGGACATGGAACCGGTGGCAGGGTGGGGGGGGGGGTGTTATTTTACAACTGTGGTTCTCAGTCAGGGGTCATTTTGCACCCCCCCCCAAGGGATATTTGATAATGTCTGGAAACGTTTGGAGTTGTCACACTGTGTGCTGTTGGCATCTAGTGGGTCGAGGCCAGGACGCTGCTAAACCCCTTACAATACACAGGAGAGTCCCCACGACGAAGAACCACTCAGCTGCAAGTGCAGGACCCAGGCTGGGAAACACTGCTTGGGAACAGAGGCTAAGAAAGCAGCAGACAGGTGTCAAGTTCAGGAGCAAAGCCCTAGAGTCGAAGCCTCCTGGTGCTACCACTGGCCAGCGACCTAACCTCTCCATCCTCTCCTGTGAAACGGGAGCCACGATCTCCACTGTTACATCCTCGGAGGGTGATTTTAGCAGCTAAAGGAGACCAACGGAAAGGCTCGGGACCGTCCCCGGCTCGTGGGGAGCGCATGAACAGTTTGCCGTTGTCGTCATTCTAACGCACAGTGCTCACCACACCCCAGACGGGCGTGACATGCCTCAGAAGACACGCTCCTGAAAAGAAGTGTATAAATTACTTTTATACAATCATTTTTAAAAAATCTAATGATAATTTTAAGCCCACAAGGTGAGTCAGCTATTTCAAGGCACTCACTTAATGGTAAGTCCTTCCCTGAAAATCAGCCTTTCAGTACAAGAAGCCTTTCGGGGAGTATCAGATTTTTTAATTTTTTTTTTATTTTCTGGGTCTCTGTTTTATATGGGGAGAGGGCCTTTAACATTCAAAGCCGTTCTGTGCCCTGTATCTCATTTCAATTTTGCAACAATGCCGTCACTATAATGCAGGCTGAACAGCCATTGTTACCCGCAACTGCCGGACAAAGAGCGTCTGTTGTGAGCGAGGAGCCATCTGTAACTTATCAGGACCACACAGCAAGTCGGTAGCAGAGAGTGGAGCAGAACTCCAAGATTCCCCAGCCCGAGCTCCCACCTCGGCTGGAGTTGGCCGCTCCTCACTCAAAACAGCGTTTCCTATGGGCTGCCAGCAGATGAAAAGACAATAAGGCTTTGGAATGTTATCATCACTGTATATAGCAGCCTTGGAGGCCCCCTGCTTTCAAACCGTGCCCAGAGTCCTGATCAAAGGCGGCCGACCCTGCACCGCCCGCCCGGGGCCTCTGTGCCTGGAGCTGTGCGGACGGAGCTGAAAAACTTCTCCATGACCTAGACCTTCCAGGGGCTGCGGGGGGAGGTTCTGAGGGTGGCTGTACTGCTGGCTCTAAAAACACGCACGTGAGCGTGTGAGCGTGTGTCTGTGCGTGGGAACAGCCGACCACCTGAGCCGGGGGTGTCCAGCCTCTGGGCGTCTCTGGGCCACACTGGAGGAAGGAGAGCAGTCTTGGGCCGCACATGACTACACAAACGCTGATGAAAGCTGAGGAGCAAAAACAAAGGACTTGAGTAAACTTAGGATTTTACGTTGGGCCACATTCATAGCCACCCTGGGCCGCATGCAGCCTGTGGGCTGCAGGTTGGACACCCCTGGGACCTATCATTCTCAAGATGAGTCCTGAAACGGCAGCATCAAAATCGCTTGAGGACAGGATAAAAATGAGAATTCTCATTCTCCACTTCGGACCTACTGAGTCAGATTCTCCGGGGTCGGGGGACCGATGGTCTGTGTTTTGACAAGTTTCCGGATGCAGGTTGGAGGTTAAAAAGTCTGCTCTATGCTACGAGCTGTATGACCTCGAGCAAGTTACTAAGGGTTCTATGCCTCAGGCTCCTCAACCATAAAATAGGGACAGTCATGGTTCCCGCTTCCCTGGGCTCGTCACCGTTGAATGAACGAACGGAAGCAGAGCACTTTGTCTCTGGCACGCAGTGGGTGCTCGCGTCCGATCCCTGGAGCACATGATGTGGCCTAGGTTACCCTGGTGTACAGGTGAGTTGTAATTTCTGGCAAAAAAAACCTCGGGCTTTTGTCCTTTGCCTGCCCTCTAAGACTGCGTCTGAAGTACAGATGCTCTCAGAAATCCCAGCCCAAGCCACAGAGACTCCCCAACTGAGCGGCATCATGCCCCCAAGGCTACCAAACAGGAAAGGTATATCTAGTTACGGAGCCAAAGCGAGCTCCCCAAACAGGGCTCGTTACAAACTGCAGGTGCACACACCCACACCCAGGCTCCTGCCTCCCCGCCGTGCCCTCCCCGTTGCTCGGCTCCCCTCCAAGTGCTCCTGCGCCCGCTCCAGAGCCTTCAGCCCTCCGGCTGCTGCAGCCGAAGCCAGTGCACAGGGCTGTGCTGTGGGCACACCGTTGACTGGGGGGAAAGGGTTTTACTCCCCTGTCCTTCTCCCTCCCTGGTTAACTAGGATCCTTTGAGGCTTGTCTGATACTCACCCCAGACATGTGCTTTCTGTGCCGAGATCAGAAAGCCTGGGTGTGTCCAAGAGCCTCCTGAGAATTAGGTGTTCCAGGAGGTGACAAGCGTGCCGTTTACAAAGGAGGGCCACAGTTACCTGGAGCCAATCCACTGATTTTCATTTGTGTTCCCTGGAGCCCCTGGAGGTGCCTTCCCAGGGTCCCTCCTTACCGGGCAGGAGGTGCCTACCTGGAGGGGGGTGGGGCAGGAGGTAGGTAGAGAAGAGAGAGCCATGGCTTCTCATTGTGTTGTGTGCACAGTGCCCCCTGGAGTTGTGCAAAGGAGAGGCCCGGACAGGGCAGAAGCCTGGCATTGCTGCCACGGCCAGCATAAGGGGCCCGTCCACTGCCTCTCCGGAGCAGCTCTGCCTCTCTGCCTCTGTCTGCCGTGTAGGCTAAACTGTGGCAGAAAGTCGCAAAGCACTGTCCGGCCCAGTCTTAACCATAGAAACAGACAGTGTTTTAATGCAAGGATTTTTTTTTTAGTAAACACAGACCTAAATGAATACAATGTTCTCTTGAAATGCCATCTCAGTCTACAGAGCCAGAACCCTGTTTATGGGAGAGTGAAACCAGCCCCTTCTGAAATACCGGCTCCCATGTCAAACCCCCAAGAGGCCGGGAACAGCTAAGGAAAGCACAGGACTGAACGCCCCCCAACCCAGTCTGCTTCTGACCACCCATTACCCACCCCAGACCCCTGCATGTGCAACCGTGATGAGATCAAGCGACGGGGCTTCGTGAGATCTGGGCCCTCCGCCCGCCCCCCGCCCCCATCTATTGTGCTTGCACCACAAAGAACATCTTGTTTACCTTCGCCTTCAGAAGAAACTACACAACCTCCACTGGCGCGTCCGCCAGGGCGCCAGTCATTTGTGGAACCACAGTCGTGTCATAGCCTCTAAAGATAATTTCTAAGGAAGATGTCTCAGCATTTCTGAGGCTCAGACGCATCTCCCAGACCCGACAAAAAGTCCTCCTTTCTCTTTATTTGCTCGTTCTGAGGGTGGCCCAGGCAGCGCTTGCGCTGAGCGTAGTCATGCTTTACTCTGAACTTCAGCTTCTGTAAATATTTGGAAGGAAACCTAACGTGTAATGCTGTGCAGAGTGACGTGAGGGCTGGTAGTGAATACAGGATCGCCTGGAATCACCCCAGAAGGGAGGCGAGTGGCGTTTTGATGTGGTCGGCACCCCCGCTTCCAGCCCACGCAGCCCCACTCTATCAGAAACATTAGACCAGGTTGTTGCCATGAACTTCACAGACTCTACTTATTTCCCCCAAACTGTAGGAGACAGAGTCCCCAGTCCTGGGACAAAGATGACAAGGAAGGTGTGGGTAAGGTGATGGCAACCACAGCCTCCTAGAAAATGAGAAAAAGAAAGAATTTTGAAAACACACAGGACACTCAGTATTATATACAAACATAAAGAATTGTTGTCCTGGCTGGCGTAGCTCAGTGGATTGAGCACGGGCTGAGAACCAAAGTGTCGCAGGTTCGATTCCCAGTCAGGCCACATGCCTGGGTTGCAGGTCACGGCCCCCAGCAACCGCACACTGATGTTTCTCTCTCTCTCTCTTTCTCCCTCCCTTCCCTCTCTAAGAATAGATGAATAAAATCTTTTTTTTAATTTTTTTTAAGTTAAAAAAAAAAAGAATTGTTGATACAGCATACGTGCATTGTTCTTCCATTCCCCAACTTTACAGAGGAAGAAACTGAGGCTCAGGGTGTGGTCATGACTGAGTTCAAGTCCATTAGGGGGTCACATCTGGACCAACTCCTCGGCCGTGAGAGCCCCCACTCAAATGGGGGGGGGCAACCACCTTCAGTCCTTCAGCAAGCTAGGACGCCAGACAGGAGTCCCTTAAGGCTGCATGACCAAATCTGGGAGAGTTTAGTGCTTTAAAAAAAAAAAGATTTACTTATTTATTTTTAGAGCAAGGGGGAGATGAAGGAGAAAGACAGGGAGAGAAACATCGATGTGAGAGAGAAACATCGATCCATTGCCCCTTATATGAACCCCTATGGGAAATAAATCTGCAACCCAGGCATGTGCCCTGGCTGGGAATCGAACCCACAACATTCACTTTGCAGGATGACACCCAACCCACCGAGCCACACCAGCCAGGACAAGTTTAGTGCTTTTTGTGGGGAAAGAACCCCGAGTGCACCAAAAGCCAAACCTGGACTAACGGCCGGACTTTGTCTCTCCAGCTCATCGGCAGAGACATCGAAGAGGCCATTGAGGCGGAAACGTCGGGAGACCTTCGGAAGGCCTACCTAACTCTCGGTAAAGCGGAGCTCGGGGGGTCCCTGGCTTAGGCTGGGCTGCCTGGAGACAGAGACGGAGGTTTGTGTGCAGGAAGCTTTCACAGAACAGTTTCGGGAACAACAGGCCCAGCAGCATGGGGCAAGGGAGAGAATGCATGCGATGCAGTTGCAACTGGGGCTTTGCTGCTCCCCAAGGAGTCCTGATGCCTGATGCCCAAAGTGCACAAGGGGGCCAGGTCTTTGCACCCCACGTCAAGCAGCCGGCTGGTTGCCACCCAGAGGCATTTGCTACCTTGGGTAAGGCTGCTCCCTCCTTGGAGGACAATTCCTGGGATGAAACTCAGTCGTGAGCAGCCAGCAGGCAATACTTGGGCTTTGTCCTAAAGAGGTCATCTGGGGTACACACCTTGGCAATCACTATGGTCCCACTGAGACTACAGGTCCCTGAGAGCACCTGTCAACAGCCTGTCCAGTCTCAGGGAGCATATGTAGCTCCTGTGACACTCAAGAGTACCCAGGCTCTGGAGTCATGAACAAGTTTCTGCACATGCCTGATGGCTTGAGGGTGTCTTTTTCCACTTGGTTCCCCTCAACATTTGGAATGAATGAGGTCTGTTTAGAGAGTGATGGGAGGGAGACCAGCACCTGGCTGTGCCAAGCACGCACCAGGACCTTCTCTCCAGGTGTAGCCCAGGGGCAGGAAATAGCAGAGAGATGGGCGGGCACGGGGCTGTGTCCCGCAGGCTCCTTTTCCGTTTTCGCAAGCCCTGGAACGAAGGCATTGTCCGTGGCGCCGTCCCAGATGGCACACAACACAGAGAGGTGCTCCCCCAGAAGGAGAGGAAGAACCGAGAAAGCAGCCCTGGAAGTTAAAAAATGTCATCTAACTGCCAGGCCTTCTCTTTCCTTTCCTTTTTTTCTTTTTTGAACAATGTCAGCAATTGACTTAAAAAAAAAAACACCCGCATTTTGCATTCAAATTAGCAGGACTTCTATTGTGATGTACAGAGCCCTACCCCCGCCCCCAGAATGAAGACACGTGGTCCACAGCCCTCAGGGAGTAGAGAATGAGTGTCTTAGGTAAACGGAGAGACCTACACCTGGCCCAGCCGGGAGGCGCCAAACCCTCCCTGTGCTCACAGCGCAGAGAGTCAGGAGAACACCTGAATTCAGTCAGAACAGGAATGCTAACCTTTGTTAATATTAATTACTAATGGTAATGACATCGTTCTTAATATCAATGGTAATACAACCATTCAATTCCTTTACATGTACTTAGTGCGTGCCCGGGCCAGGGGCCGTGCTGGGTGTGCAGATCAGAGGTAAACGGGTCCAGTTTCTGCTCGCAAGAGGCTTAAAGACCACGCCGGATACACACGATTCCCAGAGGAGGCTGCCGTGATGCTAAGAACAACAACAGCCAGAGCCAGGGGGTCTGGAGGAAGGAGAGGCTCGGAGCCCGGGGCTGGGGGCCACGGACTTAGCTGCACTCCGGTGGTAGCGACCACGAAGCGATGAGACAAGACCTTAGGAGTCAACCGCACAGACAGTAGCCGTGACTTCATGGCCACAGTTTCTAGACAGCCCCCCACCCCCGTACTCCCACCAAGCTCATAAAGACTCCAGTGCACGGCTAAAGTCAAGGGGGAGGGCCTAGGAGACCAAACGACTGCCACCACTTGCCGCCTCTGGAACACCACTTCTCCAAGTGGGGTCCCCGGGCCCCGGCATCAGAATGGCCCGTGGGGAGGCGCGTGAAATGCAGTTTCCTGAGCCCTACGGCAGGCCGCCCCCTCAGAACCTTCAGGAATGGAGGCCAGAAGCTGCACTTGGACGGGATCCCCGAGGGTTGGCTCATGCTCACTGGGGTTCGAGAGCCCCTGCTCTGGAGTAAGGGGGAGCAGGAGGCCGCACAGCAGCCGGCAGCCCGGCCTTTCACTCACCACGTTTACCTCCGTATCTTCCCTAGCAAGCCCCGTGCGAACGTCTGGGGGGCTCCTGCCACTGCTAAGGACAGAGGCTGTCCACCAGGCGTAGACTGTATATGAAGGAAAGCCGAGGATTTCCTCCTCCCCAGACTGTCGGGAGAGGCCAGGCCAGGGGAGCAGTGGTCCACGCAGGTGTGGCGCGCACTGACCTTGGGCAGACGGGCGTCTCCGTGTCGGTTAGCTCTGCACAGGAGAGGGTCCCCAGGAAAACACGGGGAGGCCACCAGCTCAGAAGGTCTGGGGGTCACAGTGAGTCCCCAGTGTGCTATGCCCCAAATTGGCAGGTTCCCCCCAAACCACCACCAATCCTGCAGCTCTTGGATTGTCCTCGGGCTGGAGGGTCAGACACCTGGGTCTGGACTTTTCTGTCCCATGGACGCTCTCATGGCTGACACACGTCCTGGGAAAGAAGACCCCCAACTCAGACTCTGCCTCCCTAGTCCTGCTCCTCTCCCTTCCTCACAGGCATTCATCATATGGGCAGCTACCTAGGAAACAAGAGTTTCCATTAAGGACATACTAAGGCTGTACATTGCATGCTTATATTGAAGTTATCGCTTGTGATTAATCACTAACATCAAAAATGTGAAGCGTTGTGGGTCAGTGTTAACAACCTAAAGAGTAAACGGTTCGTTTCCCCCAAAGTGTTTGTTAGTCAGCATGGACTCATATGAGCCTGGAAAGGGGGAGAAGGGGAGAAGAACGATGGATCCCCCAGAGATGCACCCCATCTCCTGCTCGGTGAGCCAGAATCCTGCGGCACTAACCTGTGGATTAGGTCAACGCTGGTGGGCAGGGGAGGGCCAGGGAAGGGCCACCAGCAGCATCACAGGAGGTGACCTATGGGTGGGATCAAGCCTTTCCTCAAGCCCACGTCCCCGACTGCAAACTGAGAGGTCCATGGGGAACTTGGAAAAGACCCAGCGACGAGACTCCCAAAACAAACCCCGCGAGGAAAAGCGAAGGGAAGGAAGGTGGTTTGGCGTGGGAAAGTAGGCCACAGGCCAACTGAGGGAGCCCCAAGATGATGAAGTTCGCTTGCAGCAAGGATGCTGGCCCATCCGTTTCCTCTCCGGACCCGACTCCAGCATCAGAGGTTTTGTTTGGATAAGAACAGTTACTTCTGCGGGCCAGGAGCATGCGCTTGGTGGGGAGAGCCTGAGGATGGTCAAGCGTTCTTCCACCTCCCAAGAGTCTTGGGGGAACAGTAAGGGTTCTTACTCATCAGGAGGGGTTTTGACTCGGTTCTGGTGGAAGATTCCAGGTGCCCTGACCTGGGGAATCTTCCACATCCCATTACACAAAAGTAGGAAGTTCCCTCCTCTCGAACATCTGCCTCACTATCCTATCTCCTCCAAGGGTGGCCAGGTGGCACTCTGGGCTGTCTCTGTCCCTTCAAGGGTCTCCATGTTATTCCACAAAACATGACCGTCTCACATTCTTTTTCCTCTCCTCTGCCCAGTGAGGTGTGCCCGGGACCTGGAGGGCTATTTTGCTGACCGTCTGTACGAGGCCATGAAGGGTGCGGGGACCGATGAGGAGACACTGATTCACATCTTTGTGACCAGGGCTCAGGTAAGGCACATTCGACTCCCAGGTGGCAGGCTGCGACTTCTCTTTTTGCCACCACGGGCGCCATCAGCAAATAGTTTTTACCAAGGACCTATTTATAGAAAAAGTAAAACAAAGACATCCTTTGCCTTCCCAGACTTTGTGAAAGACCCTTTGTAAAGCTTTGCTTCAACCTGTGTCTCTTTGTAAAACTACAATAATGATAGCTGCTTCTATTTTTGTCACCTGTGGCTCCAGAAAGCTCACGGGGGTGTGCAGGGGGACCTCCCGGGGCCCTTCTGGGTGGTGCAGCTGGGCTCGGCCCCATTTTATAGAAGACAAGACTGAGACACTGGAACTCAGCACCGGACTAGGTTACCCGGTGGCAGGAACGATGAGTAAACGGTTTCCTAACTCCTGAGCCAGGCCTCTATTTAATTGTGCAGAAGCACAGCTGTGCACAAGGAACGCATCAGTGTAAGAAAATGCCTCAGCCTTTTTAAAATGATTAATCACCCATTAAGCAGCCTTTTCAGGCCCATTTTTTCCTTAATTGCCACCCCCCTTCCCTGTCAAGAAATGTTAACACCACAAATATGCCGCATAGTTGTTTATGTTCCATTTATAGGTGCCTTTACGTAAAAAAATGGAGGGGTTTTTTTTTCACCCTGTAAGAACCAATTTTTTGTCCCATTAGGAGTGATATTATCTCCCTTTGAGAACGCAAGAGCGTAAGAAAGGGGCAGGGGAGTGAGTAGCCCAAAGCTTGGGAGTAGCTGTGAAGCCTCATAGCAAATGCTTTGGAATATAGAGCCACACACAGAAGAAACGACGAGAAAAGGGGTGGGGAGAATGAATGGCATTTCAGCTGCAGCAGGCGAAGCCTGGGAGAATGACGTGCAACTGAGTGCTTAAAAACCACAGACATCTCCACTCAGAAAATTGTTACACGGAGCGGGAAAGCTACCAACCCAAATTCTGGCCCACAGCTTTTGACAAATAATATTTAACCATCTAACCAACATTGTTGTTTTCAAATAGAACTTAGCAACAAGAGTGTTCTTTTGTTTTTATTTCTGTTCCTGGAATTTCTCCTCCCCGCCTTCCCCTCCTCCTCCCCTCCCACTATTCATGTTTTTCTTTCTCTCTTCAAGTCTGTGCCTCTCTCTCCCCTCTTCCTCTTCTCTGACCTCCCTGTCACCCTTCTGCGGTCCCCATTCTCTCTTCTGTGGCTCCGAACCTCTCTCTTTCCTTTTCCTTCCCAGGTCTCTGTCTTCTCTCTCTGTCTCTTTGCAACTCCACCCCCCAACCTAAGTCAAAGGAGTAGGCTGGTGACAGAGCAGGGCAGGGATTCCGAAAGACCCAGGGGAACAGGCGGAGGGCTCCTCAGGGTTCTGCGTTCTGTCCAATGCAGGCCACGGAGCGTCCATTCCAAAACGCTCTGCCCATCTCAGTACTGACCGTGTGTCCTGAGTCATGCCCGCACGGGGACCATCCCGTCAGAATGCTTCAGGCCCAGCCAGACGTTGTTAGCGAGAACCCCTAACCCGCCAAAGCATCACGGTACAAGATCAGGGCTGCGGTGTGTGCCCCACATTGACCTCCCCCTTTCCGCCCCCCACCCCCAGCCAAACAGGGCACAAGCCAGGGGAGCAGAGGCACAGGCACCACCCGCCCGCTCCGGCCTCTGTCCTGCTCAGCACCACCCTCTTCCTCACTCACCCACCGGCCACTGTTCTCATCTTTCTCTCTCCCGTTCGGCTCTCTGACTGGGGCAGGGGTAAAAAGACCCAGAACTTGAGCGATGGTCTGTAGGTCTGTCTAGAAAGCGAGGTAGAGTTTACATTGTCAAAAAATAGGGAAAGAAACAACAAAAATTCCCGCCTAAAGACAGTGCTTGGCCTCTTTCATGAGACTCGCTGGGTTCCGTCTGCAAGTGTATCTTTCCTACGGCAAGCGTTCTCTCATGGACTAGGTGGCAGGAGTCTTTAGAACAGAACAGCCCTTCAATTTATGTTTATTCTCAGTCCTCTCACCACCTCTAGCGCTTTGGTTTTTCAAGCTTTCCATAAGTCGGACTCAAAATAAGACCTACAAATTTGGTATGGATGTGACTTTTGTTGCCTGGCTCTAACACACTGATCAGGGTATGAGGGGGAAAAGAGGCTTCATTTCAAATATCTGTGTTTTGCCCAGTTCTGCTACCTACGAACGATTCATTTTTTAAATAGCTGTTTAAAATTCCAAAGGGAAGTCATTTCAGCTGCAGCAGAAGCTGAAATACTTTTCAACACATAAACACCATGTGAGCCCTGGCTGGCATAGCTCAGTGGATTGAGCGCGGGCTGCGAACCAAAGCATCACAGGTTCGATTCCCAGTCAGGGTACATACCTGGGTTGCAGGCCACGGCCCCCAGCGACTGCACATTGATGTTTCTCTCTCTCTCTTTCTCCCTCCCTTCCCTCTCTAAAAATAAATAAATAAAATCTTTAAAAATTTAAAATTCAGTATTCTATCCCCCCAAAAAACCTCTCTTCCTTTAAAAAAAAATCATGTGAAATCCAAGTTTCAGCATCCGTCAAGTTTTCTCGGAACATACGCACACACGGAGACATCTCTGCAACCTCTGGGCAGCGGAGCTCAGCGTTGCTCTTGTCCTCCGCACCAGCGGAAGGGTAATAGCTCCTACCTCTAATGGTGCTTTTCAGGCATCAATGAGCAAACGAGAATGACATGCGTAGTGCGGTGCCTGCCTGCGTGTATGGTGAACATGCTATACACACGGCCGTCTCCACTGCTGTTGTGATCTCCTCTACAGGTGGACCTTCAGGGGATAAAAGCCAGGTTCCGAGAGAAGTATCAGAAGTCCCTCTCCGACATGGTTCGCTCGGACACCTCGGGGGACTTCCAGAAACTGCTGGTAGCCCTCTTGCGCTGAACCAAGCCAGAGCCGTAGGGGCACAGGGAGGAGCCGTCTTTGTCGAGAGCCCATTCCAAACCTGATTTGCAAACATGACTCCGGCTTGAAAAACTTTCAAGAGTCCTGGTTTAGTTTCTGGGCAGCTTCTGTTTAAGTCAAAGACAGTGGCTTCGATGTACTTGGGAAGGTCACCCTTGCACGCCGGCCTAGCGGGTGTCTGGGCTGCTGCTTCGCTTTTCTCTAGAGCATGGTAACTGAGTGCTTCATAAGTGCAAGTGAAATCAGCAGTTGATGGGGAAAAAAACTATCCATTCGTAATAAAACATTTAGAATTCTATATCTCACACAAGGGTATGTATGTTCTGGGTAAATATTAAATGGTTAATGTACAGGGAAGATAAAATTAACCAATTCATTAATTTCCCTTCTGTGTGTTCAATTTCAAAGCCTCAACATTAATTAAAGTTGTGGATTATGCCTCCATCAGCTGCTTTTCCAAAGACTGGGTTGACTCGTTTTGGCTCTTGTCCTAGAAATCTATGACTTGTGAAATTTCAAACATACTTGGGAAAGGCAAACAGTTGCATTTACTAGTAATCACCAAGGACAGTCGTCAAAACCAGCAGCAAGGAACCAGTGGATCCACCTATGAGAAATGCAACTAGAGGTGAATCCACTAATCGGTTACCTGGTTTACATGGTTTGTCTTGCTTCTGTAGACATTTGACCCACTTGAGTCTTCCATCTGATCTTCAAATACAATTAGGCTGGGCACAATGCCAACAGGATCAAGGTCAACGGGCTGACTCTTAAATGGATTTGTTCCGCACCAATAGCATCTCTGTTCCAAGACGTTTGTCTCAGAGCCATATGTTGCCAGACGTAGAGGGTTCTGTCGAGACAACCGGGACACTTTGGTCCAATGGTTATAGCTATCACTCCGGATGATTGTTTGTGTCTGGCACGGCTAATAGCATACTTTCATATTTAATCTCCCTAGCAGCCCTGTGAAGTTAATATCACCCCCTTTTATCAGTTGAGGAAACTGAGACATTAAGCAACCTGGCTAAATTCATTTGCAAGTAATAGATTTCAGGGCTTGTTGACCTCAGAAATCACATGCTAATTGCCTTTCTTGGAAAAATAAAACAAAGCACATGGGAGTGGGTCTATATTCATTCACCTGCTGAGGTCCCTACTCTCTGCCAATCACTGTGCTGGGCTCTGGGGATACAAAGATAAGTAGGACACTGGCTATGCCTTGGGCAGTTCATCCCCAGGCCAGTAACAGAGACAGATGCCTCCCTTCGACAGAATGCTGTTAAGTCCATGAATACAAGCACGTAAAACTCTCTGTCCACAAGCAAGCAGGGGAACAGGCCGCTCTGCCTAGGTAAATGGGGACCACTTCAAAGAGATACATTTGTGTGGGGTTTCGAAGAATGCATGGAATGTCTCCGGAGAAACAAGGAAAGAAGGGCATGGGCGGAGGTTCAGAAGCATTAGGAGATGCCATGTGTTCAGAAAGCAATGACACCTGTTCTCCTGGGGCATGGATGCGGTGAGAGGAAGGAGAGGGTCGGGGAGGCAGGCGATGGAGCTGCCAAAGTGTTTGCTTGAATCACGTCAGCAATGGTGTTGCCTGCCAAGCGTGGGCCTGGCCCTTTGGGCAATGGCGGTCCCTGGAGATGTTTAAGTGAGGAACATTTGGGCCTAGGAAATCACTTTGCTTGTGTAGTCCATGTACAGCAAGTAGACCAAATGCTCAGTATAAGAATACACGTCATGGCGTGTTTTCTAGTCACTGTAAAAGAGTGACTAACAAATTAAGGCGTCATGTTCACATTTGTGTCCTCCATACACGGAGTAGTGTGTCTCTGACCCAGCGGAGTGGAGTCTTGCTTGCCCAACAGCAAGAGATCAGTGCACAGGACACTTCCAGGCTGCAAGCAAACTGTGTCTCAGACCACCCTGCGGCCAATAAAAATGCCTCAGAGACGCTCCCCTCACCCACCCTTTGGGGTTGGGGAGTTGTGGTCTACTTCCTTGAGTGGGGAATTTTACATAACTTATTTGGGATTCTCCTGTACTGGAGGTTTGCCTGTTCTCCCATTGTTCTCCCATTTAGTACTTTATTTACATCCGTATAGACTCATGAACAATTTATTGTGTACTTTGGGTTATAATCCAATTCTATATTATTTATTTTGTTGCTCAAATTGTTCCAGCTTTGTCCATTGGGAGCTCTTAGAGTTGGCTCCAGTGTCCCTTTGACACACCCCTCCACTTGGCTTCTGAGTGCTCCTTTAGTTTCTGTAACTATAGGATAGTCCAAGCCCATCTTGCATATTCTTTGCCCAAGCCCTACCATCTTCCATTTGTCCAAGGCATCCTGGTTCCTTTGATTAGATGATGGTATTAGAAACCAAGATCTGGGCACTGGGAGTGCTCATTGCTGGGGTGTCACTGCTTCTAGGCCCACTCAGTGGACAGAACTAGGAAATATAAGTCTGTATACTAAGCCACGTATCACACATGTCTGTATGTATACATGTATGTAGACAGAGGACATAGATACAGGTTTAGATGTAGGTATAGACCTAGATTCATCTGACTCTACGTTAAGTTATACCTGATTCAAATGATGTCTTCAACTTTCATCCAGTACCACCTGGTTCATACTGGAAGGGGGATTTTTGACTTTGACTTCTTAAAAACGGCACAAGGAGACAAGATAGTGGAAGGGGCGCTCCTAGAAAAAGGAGCCGTGGGGAGAATCGAAGCAAACCACACACATCGCCCTGCATGTACCACGGACAATGCTTCTATCTGGACTGGCACAGTCTGTGCCGGGTCTGGGAGAAAGGGCCGGCCACGGCTGAGTGCCCCTCAGACCTCCACACCTGGTGCCCAAGGAATTGTGCTTAGGTTTCCAAGAGAATGCTCCATGGCTTCTTCGGAACCAAACCAGAAATACCGATGTCTTCCATTCCTGAGGTAACCAGTTTTCAATGAGCTCAAAATGTGTCCCGCCAACACTGAGCCATGGAAGCAAAGCGGAGAGAAAGACCAGCTTCAGTGTCAGAATCAAGACAGTGGGTTTCCATGTCAGCCTCTCCCTGTTAATGATTCTTGGTTGCCAATAACCGTCACTTTAGGACTTCTTAGAACAGTGGTATCTCAAGAGGCCTGAGGCGTGTTTAGACTTTAGAAGGAAAAGGGCATTGGCATTGGATCATCTCTCACTGTGAGTAATGTGGGCCTGGATAATATGACTCCGAACCAAAATGTACACACTAACTGGTCAAAGTCTGAACCTGTTCCAAGTATTAATTTTTTAAAAAATCCTACGGAACAAGTTCGCGTTAGAACAAGTCTCCGGAAAAGGTTGAGCCAGAAGAAAAAAGAATCAGAAAAACAAAATCGTTTTCACACAAGCATTTCATTCACGTCAAGTGTACGGCACAAATATGTACTATGTGTGCATTTCTATTGGCAGGACCTCTTTTCATTGACTCTCACCTAACCTACTTGACCGGTCAACCAGCACGCCCTACCCCTCCACAGAGTCTACAGGTAGATGTCCTGGATGCTCTGAAGGCTGGGGACTAGTGTGGGGCTGGGGAGGAAGCCTTCTCTCTCCTGGTGGTTCATGCGTTTTGCAAGAGTGCATTTCATTTATTCTCAAATCTTATACATATTGTACTCACTGTTGTAATTACATAACTTAATTAAATTGTAAACAAGCTAATTAACTGTTCAAGTGCAAAAAGAAGGAGTTCTTGTGTATACGAAAAACTAAATTGAATGCCCTGGGAAGATTTTTTCAAAAAAAAAAAAAAAAGGATAAATGCCAACATTGAGTGCTCATCAGCAGCTCATTTGCAGAGAAAAATTCTAAGCAAATCAATATACTCTTGAATGCTTCATATGAAAAATCAAATTATAAGCTTGTGTGTGTTTTATTGTAATGATGCTGTGCTTTCAGCTTAAATATACGTGGCTGATTGCCTTTCTCAGTGTGTCAGAGAAGAGGGCTTCCACTGAATACACCTCTTCTCTTCCTTCTGAAGCATTAATCTGTCTGGGATGACCACAGGCTTTCCTTCCTGTCAAAGACCTTGGAGGCACCGTCACCACCTACTGCATCTCCCGACACCTAAGCCTCGTGCAGTGATTAAGAGCAGGGGCTGAGGAGAGAGAAAGAGCAGGGAGAGACTCCTGGTGGCCCCAGTCACAGGCTATATCACTCTGAGAAAGCGAAGTAATGGTTTGAGAAAATGGGGTGATAATAGTTCAGAAGCTCCCCTACTTAAGCACCAAAAGCAAAAGGGAGCCTTCACAGACGAGGACAATGCCACCGCCAGGACAAACAGGGCAACTCTGCCTGCGAACAGGAGATGTTTTCAGAGGTCACCCATTTAGTGTTATTTGTATAAAAACAGCAGCAGCACCAACTAAACTGATGTGTAAGTGGAGGAGCTGTACCCCATAGCATCTTGGTTCTGACTAATGAGATAAAGTCATGGAAACCCTGAGCACACAGATGGACCCGTGCCAAGCGCTCCCTACACAACAGCTGTGTTGTTGTCTAGCTAAGTCACCCATCTGTGCTGGGGCGGTCAACCCTGGAATGGAATCATGAGGCAGCCTATTGCATGAGGAAGCAAATTAAGGTGCAGATAGATCTCACGTGGACTCACGCCTCCCACCCTCCTCCAGCCCTTCCCCACCTGGGCTGACCTGTCAGACCAGGATGGTCTCTCACCTGCACACACCAAAAGCAAAAGGAGCCTTCCCCCAAGGCCATTTCCGACCCCACAGCTGGCATCCTAGCGCTGGGAAGGGTTTGCCACTCTTACACCTTGAGCCTTTATGAGGGCCGCTGCTTCCCCTCCACTGGGATGTCCAATTAGCCCCTTGTTCCAAGTACATGCAAAGAAAACTCTTGATTTCACCCACCCAACTGGTTCCTTCCTCCGTTCTCCCTATCTCACTAACAACCCCAAGCCACCCAGCTGCTCAAATCAAAGTCACTGTTGACTCCTCCCATGCCTCTGTCCTCAAGGGCTGTGTATCAGAGGTCCTTTGGTCCCATTGCTCCAAACACCTTCAGTTTTCCGTGTTTCGCCACCTCCACAGCCACCACCCCAAGCCGAGCCTCCATCCTTTCCCGTCTGGACCCCTGCAGTTGCTTCACATCTGGGTTTCCTGCTTTCCCAGTTCCTTCATCTCTGGGTCCTTCTGGAACCCCCACTCCCTCCCCCTCACTTACCAGTCACTGACCACATACGGCTTTTTCTGTTCCTCAAACTTGTCGCCCTTATTTCTGCCTCAGGACTTCTGCACTTGCAGGTCCCTCTGCCTGGAACTCCCCTCCTCAGGGAGCACCCCGGGAGCCCGTCGGAGAGCACATGTCACCCCCTCCAGAAGCGGACGCTGGCTACCACATCAAGTCTCATCCCCATCACGGGCCTCAGCACACACCCAGACTCTCCCT